TGCATGATGCTGCACAGTGGGTGCAGCAAAGCAGTAAGAGAAAGATGTGGCAGACCACAGTTAAGTGTCACTTTGACTGTAGCTGTTAGGTGAGGGGTGGGAGTTTCCTGCCTCCCTCCTCCTTGGGAGGAAAATCCTGGGCAGAAAGCCAAGGCCGTGTATGCACAGGCTGTCCCTGGAGCTGGTGGGACTGCTCTTGGCTAGGTAAAGGGCAGGCTGAAGGTCTGGTGTGCAGTGCATGCCTCCTCTCCCAGGTGACAGGTGATAAACTTTTGGTTGCTCAACCCCAAGCGGGACTCTGGCACTTAGAGGGTTTCTTCCCTTATCGTGTCTTTATCTGATGAATGTTGCCTCTACAGCAGGGCCAGTGCCAGCAGCACCTGGGCGTGACTACTGGTGGGTTTTTTCTCATGTGCTGGGTAGGATGGGGGAAGTGTTCTCTCACTCCTTCCCATGACTCAGGCCAGCTGTGAGATGCTGTGCTGTCAGGAGTCCTCTGAGATCTTGGGGCGTGCGCACAGGGAAACCGTCCATATGGGGCAGGTGCAAAGGCAGTGAGTGTTGTATCTGCTGTCTTCAGGATTTGCTTGAGAAATCAGAGGCAGGAGGGGAAGCGAGAGGCAAAAATTGCCTTCAAGAATTCGAGCTGCTCAGGGCTGATTTATTTATTACATGTTAAGTCAGAAAAATGGAGGTTAAACTGCTGGGGAGTGTTGCAGTGTGTTGTCATGGTGTGCCTCAGTTTCCCCAGTTCTTCCCCTGAAGTTTCCTTCCCCAGGTGATGTGTCAATCACCTCTCCTTTCCCCACCCTTGACCCCTGCTGGGCACTGTCTATCAACCCAGAAATTCCAAGGGGAGCGTCGAGTGATTGGCAGGTTCAAAGGATGCTCTCCACCTCCTGGGGCCCATTGGCCCACCCAGGTGTCCCTCTCACCTGAGACCCCCTCCCCCTGTACCTGGTTGGTGCTCCCTGTGTTCCCTCCCCTGCCCTCTCCCCAGGTAAAAGGGCAAGCACACCATGTAGTTGAGAGTCCTGTTGGAGTTGTTGCAGGATTCAGAGGCCACGCGGCCCAAAATAAGAACTCTGGATTAAAAACTCTCCGTCAGGACTCACTCCTTCCTTCACCTCACCTTAAAGGTTTCTCCAGCTCAGGAAGGCCTGAGGAGTGACCCTCATCAATAGCAAGCTCCAGCCGTAAGCACTGGAGCTCGGGACGTGCCTGGACTTGTCCCCAAGTGTTCATAGCTAACCAGAGCATCTCTGGGGTGCAAAACACCACAGGTGCCGTGATTGGCTCAGCAGCTGAGGCCAGACAGACCAAGGCAGTCCCGTTTGGTAATATTGTTAAAATCCAGTAGGGGAGTTTCCATCGGAGATTATAACCTACCCTTCCGTCAGGGTGAGCAATGCTGGATCGTGATACTGTCATGGAGAAGCAAAGGTCTCCTCTGAAGAGGACTTGGGGCCCTGTACATGCAGCAGGTGTGGAGCCATACAGCTTCCCCATCTTGCACATCATCTCTCCTGGTTCAACTCTCTCAATACTTTCTCCCATCTGTCTTAAAAAACATCATTATTATTGAGTAGTAAAGGCCCTTTTAATCCAGAGTACAACTTATTCTGCTAAATAACATCAATATATTAAAAAAATACTTTTCACCCATCAAATACCATTGCAAAGTGTGTTGGATGTCCTTCTGCCAATACCTTGGTTAATGCTGGATTAACATCATGATGCATCCTGTGTGGCTGTTCACTTTGCTCCTGCTCAAGTGTTAAAGCAAGGACACCATGTGTGGCAGACACAAGGGACAGCAGAAGGGAAGGTCTGTCATCCCCTCCATTGCTCTGGAGGAAGCTGTCAGCTTGGGATAAAACTGCCATAGAAAAGGCACAGAGCACATGTCCAAGCTAGAAATTAGCCATGGGCCAGATTACTCCAGAAAGCCTCTGGAGATGACCCAAGAGCAGCTGAACTGCTGAGGTTCTCCTGCTTCCCACTGTTCTCTGGTGATGGGGATGGGTACAGGAGGATCCACGCTTGCACCCTCTGGTAGTTCTTCTTGTGTACAGGTGCAACTCAGTGAGAATTAGGCAATTAATGAAGTGGCACACTACAAAATGTATTAGTTGGACTGGTCTCTTTGTAATAAGAGGGTTGATTTGTTGATTTTTACTTTAGTTGTTTTTTTTTTACCTTATGAGCTCCTGAGGTAAAGCTAGATTCCCACAGGGCATTATCCTGTAAGTCTGAGTGACCTGGAGAAAGAGTGGCACCACTGAAAGCACAAAAAGGTAGCAAGGCTGAAGCAGAAGCTCAGCCAGAAGATGTGTGTTATCTTTCTCATACAAGATGTGTGAAACATCTTGTGACAAACCATTGCTGACACTAGCATGCGATTGTAGAGGGATTTGAAACCACTTTTAGGTCTGACCAGCTGTGACTAAGAGCTGCTGTGAAGCTGGTGGTACCCTTTGGCCCTGGCTGTGAGCTCTTCACTCTGTGCTGGACTTTGTGTTTGGGTGCCTGTGGCACAGGGGTTCAGGCCCCTTGCCCAGATGTCACTACACTCTCCCAGCCATAGCATCATTTCCTGTCTGATCAGCTACCCAAGACCCTCTCCAGTGTGTGCAGTGTCCCTGGCGTGAGAGAGATGAGGGATGAGCAGACATGGGAGCACCTCTCTGCTTGTACCGACTGCAGTGGCTTCAGTGTTGGTGAGATGTGCATCTGACCCTCAGCTATATTTCTGAGGGCTGTGAAAACTTTCCCTTGCACTTACTGAGCTCCATTCTCCTGCAGCTTTTACCATTGCAGGAACTTCCCTTTTGCCTGAGCCATTTCAAGCTGTGGGAAGGAAGCAAGGTTTGTGGGTAACATGTTCTTCCATTGAAGCTGCGGAAACATCTAGAAAAAAGGTGAAGTTTCTGATTCAGAAGACCTTCTCCATGTCTGAAACAGAACCCTGAGACTGTTACTCTGTCTCTGGAAAGGACTGGTGGGACCAGAGCTTTGGAAAGAGGCCCCCAGGCACCCTCCTGTGCCAGCAGCCCCCCCTGACCTGCACACCAGTGGGATTCATGGACCCTCTGTGAATGAACACACCTCTCACCACTGAAGACATCTTAGTTTGTGCAAATAGTATGAGGCAGCATGCTGGGGAAAGTGGCTTCGCTCATTTTGTGGTCATGTTTGAAGTTGCAGTTTGGACTTGTTTTAAGTGGTACAGAGAACAGGCACAAACTTTTACGTGTCAGTGGCCCAAACTGGAATAAATTAGTTTCTGCTTGTGGTAGACTGTGTAATCCATATTTTGTTCTTTGCAGAGAAAGCAAAAATTGTTAAGGGAGATTTTTTTTAATCTATGCTCCTGAATCTTCATCAGTATTGCATTTACTGTACTACATGATAAATTGGTGAGTACTGGTTTCAGTGGAATTTTTCCATTGTCTTCTTAGAAATAAAAATGGAATGGTTTGGAAGGGACTTTAAAGATCATCTAGTTTCAAACCCCATGCTGTGGGCAGGGATGCTTTCCACTAGACCATCTTACTCAAACATGTTACTTGAACATTCCAGGGATGGGGCATCCACAGCTTCTCTGGGCAACCTATTCCAATGCCTCACCACCCTAACAATGAAGAATTTCTTTGTAATATAGACTAAACCTATCCTCCTCCAGTTCAAAGCAATTCCCCCTTGCCCTGTCACTACATGCCCTTGTGAAAAGTCCCTCTCCAGCTCCCTTTAGGTACTGTAAGGTGCTCTGAGGTCTCTCTGGAGCCTTTCCTTCTTACCACCTAAAAAACCTGACTGCATTTCAGCTTCCTGTTTCTCTCCTCCCCAGCAGACTCCTAGGCCATGAGCCTCATCCAGCCAGCTGGTAGGATGTCAGGCATCTTCTCCTCTAGGGAGAATCTGCTGATCTACAACTTTTTGCAAACCTTTTAAAAAGCTTTTAGTTTTCATACCCTATTGCAATGTTCTTACAAAGAACACCGTGTATGATCCAGCCAGGGAGTGGCCAGGCAGCCACATTAGTTTTCATAGCCTATTGCAATGTTCTTACAAAGAACCGTGTATGATCCAGCCAGGGAGTGGCCAGGCAGCCACATTGTAAAGCAGGGACAGACACAGTTAAACTTTGGAGCTGCTGGAAGCCAAGGGAAGCATTTAAAGGCATGGCTCCCTGTTTTCTCAGCAGCACTACTGGTAAAAGCCTTCACTTAAAGCACCTTAAATTCCAGCCTGTTGACAAAGCTGTCATATTGAACTTTAGCCTGAACTTCTCCTTTCCCCATTCTTCATGAGGGCAAGAGAGAAGGGAATCTCACCATCAGCACTTCCCATGGGATGCATCAAACTTGACTTGCTCCTGAGAAACAGCCACTCAGACCCTCTCTGGGATCTCTGCACACTATGTGCATCCTGCTGGGAAACAAAAAGTGCTGTCCTGGTGTCACAGATTCTCCACAAAATTTGGAAGTGCATCCAAAACTGTCGTGACTTGCACAGGGCATGGGTGGTTACGTATTTGGGGCATGTTAGTGTAGAAACTGTAATATTAGCATCTTATGAAGTGAAATTTATATGTGTATGGTAATTGCTCAGTTAATTTTACTGTAGTGTCTGGGCTACATGGCCTGTGACAAGCACTTAGGGAATCAGCCTCATTATTATGGAAAGCCTCCCGATGTGGGATGTGTTTTCTAGGAAATGAAAACCTAAATGTCTGTTCTGATGTAAGTACATTATTCAGATCTGCTCTTCCCTGAGCAGCAACATCACGTGGGCAAAGTTAAGGGAATAACACAAGAAACATGCAAACATTTTCTAAAAAAAGGAATAAGTAATCCTGGGAAAAGGAAAAATAAATGACTGTGTTTTGCACGTGTAAAGTCTGTGGTTGTAAGGACAGAGCACAGCTCCTGACTTCCCCCTTCAAGTTACCTCCCACCTATTGTACGATTATACTGCTGGCTGCCAATAAGAACATCCGAGGGAGTAAGTTTAGTTTCATCTTCGCCAGAGCCTCTTTGTGCAGGGAGAGGAAGTCTGCACTGACCAAGGCTGCTCACCAGGTTAGTTCTCTAAAAGCATGGAAATATTAGTAACTTCTTAGCCTGGGAAGAGTGGGATGATATTGTCAAAGTAGAGATTTTTTTTTTTTTTTCCTGCTTAGCTCAAAATGTAAATCAAACTATCTGGCAAATCTTACTTGGGGAAGTGGGGGCTTTTAAAAAGCTATGTGCAAAAGCTGGATTATGGAGAGTTTACCTTTGCTTACTGCTTTCTAACGCTAACACAATTTTATGAATGTGTTGAAGGAATCTGACTGGTACTTTACTCTCTGTTTAAACCGAGCTGCCCTACCAGAAGTTTGGATATTAATGGCTTTTGATACCTGGTCTCTCTGTGTGCTTGTTTGTCCCTTCAGTGGGGTGTGCTGTTGGTGGCAAGAACGGCTATGCTTCAAAATCTTCATTACTGTTTGCAGCTAGGAGAGGAGAAAATAGGTGAATAATAGTTGTGTGGGTGGCACTGCTGTTGGCAGGCAGAGGGAAGCTGTGGATAGGCAGAGGCATTGTACTTCCCTCTGGACTCACACCTGATACCACCTCCAGCTGCACTCCCATCAGGCTTGCAGGCTGGTGTGTGTTGCCAGCTGAAGCCAGGAGTGGGATTTCTGGAGAAGTACACGTTACTCCAAAAGATGGAGACAGTAAGTGTTCCCCCTCCCCCAGCATCACTTTTTCATTTTAGTTTCTGTTCTGGCTTCTGAGCTCAGAAGCAGGAGGAGGAGGAGGAGGAGGAGGAGGAGGAAGCTGACCACCCAGTAGGGTGGGTCTGCCTTTGTCGAACTTCTGTTTCTAAGACATAAAATAAATCAACCCAACTTACAGAAAAGAAAGTTCAACAAATGTGAGCAGGCAGTTTATCTTATCTCAGAGAACCTCATGCAAGCCCAAACTTTCTCAGAATTGTTACCTAGAAATACTTTGTACTTTTTCACTTGGCTAGGGAATTAGAAGCAGAAAGGAATTGTTCTTGTTGCTATTCTTACTGTTATCATTATCATCATCATTATTATTATTTTAGACCTGTGGCTTACTGGTTTGCAAGGTTTACTTACTTGCTTAACCAGAGAAAGGCAAGGAGAGTGTTTCAGACTTTGGACATTGATTTTCTCCCTTTCTGGCTCCCTACATCAGGAAACTAGAGATACGAGTTTTCTATACTACTCTCGTGTGTGTAGCCTGGCTTTGCTATGAGGAAATGAGTCCACAGGTGCTCCCCACATGCCCTGTGCCCATGCTAAAGCCTCTTGTGTAAAATACAACAAGTCCAACAACCAGAATGCCCAAGTGACTCCCTTTAGCCTGGGTTCACTGCCCAGCCCAGCTCAGCACAAGGGGAATGAGTCATGTCTAAGCAGTAGCAAAGCCTTTATGGAGTGGAGTGGGGAACATCAGTGGCCTTAAACTATTTTGAAGGCTGGATAAAATGGGAGATAATGTGAAAACCTTGAACAGATATGTTATAAATAATAAAATGATAAAGCCAAATCAATAATCGATAAAAAAAAGTTTTTATTTTGCAACCAAGATTCAGCCTCCGATAGCCACAATCAAAGGGTCAGCGTCAAGCGGCGCTGGGTGAACACAGATCCAAACTCTATCGCTTCAAATCCTCTCTGTTCACAAATGCTCTCTCTGCCGGACTAGTTTTATACGATCTATTTCGCCTGGGGCATAGTTTCTCCTATTCTTCTCGTTGCTGCACATATTCATGTAGTTTCCTTTTCTCTGTGCTGGGCTGGACAAAACTGTTTCTGGGAAGTGATGAATGCTGATTGTCCGGGAACCTGGTATTGGGATGCACACCCTTGATGGCTCTGATTATCTTGATCACCAATACTTCTCAGGTACTCATCACTTGGGCAGTCTCTGGACTGTCCTGGGAAAGGGCCCATCTCCTCACAGAGCTACGTCTTTCGTTTACTAATTCGTTTTTTCTCTTCCGCTGCCATCTGTGATTTCACATTTTGTGAAGCAATCTCTTTCCCCAGCTGCGGCTTGTGGTTTTAAATATTTAAGAATTTTCCGTACAAGCACAACTTATTTCATGTATATTTTACATAAGTAAAATTATTCCACAACATCTATCACAGATAGAAATGCAGGCAAGATATGGTTATGCTCTATCACCTCCAGTGGCAGCTAGGGAGCTGGGCAAAAGGCAGCCTGGTGAGGGGTGATAGCCACCTGTTTGGTTGGATGTTCAGACCAACCACAGTTTTTTCACTGACTCTCCTGTTTCCTGTCTCTTTCAGAAGAGCACCTGGGAATGGCTGCCCCAACCGTTGTGACAATCCAGCCACAGTATGGCGGGGCCATGTCCTCTGTCTCGAGATGCACGTGGCAGACAGGCCTGATGGACTGCTGCTCCGACTGTGGTGTCTGTGAGTGCCTTGGACACAGTTTCCTTGCCCCTGCTGCTTGGCTCAGTGGTGCCACTGTGCAGCGGGGCAGCCTGGCTCTCCCAGCTGCCCCGGTGGTTCCAGGCGGGCAGGCAGAGCCTCAGCCAGTGCTGTGTTTCTCCCCCTGCCAGGCTGCTGTGGGACGTTCTGCTTCCCATGCCTGGCTTGCCAACTGGCTGGGGACATGAATGAGTGCTGCCTGTGTGGGACCAGTGTGGCCATGAGGACCCTGTACCGCACCAGATACAACATCCCGGTCAGTGCTGAGCCTACCCCCTCACCCTGCTGCGAGCCTGAAGGACAGGGTGCCCCCAAGGCCCCTCTCTCTGCACTTAAGGGAGGGGCTCAGGACAGCAGTGATTTCCAGTCCCCCTTTTTTTCCCATCCATATCTCCTCAGCTGCTGCTTCCTTCTTGGAGCTTTGAAAGATAGGAAAGACTTGAGATAACTGTGGGTTGAATAAAGAATAGGTGAAGATGGTTACAAGGATAAAGATCCATCATCAGGTTTGGGAGAAAGGTGGACAGTGCATATGTGAGGGTATTTCTTCCCGCATGGGAGGTGGTTGCTGCCCTCCCAAGGGCAAACCATAGGGTCCCAAGTTCACTTTGCCCACATTGTCTGTTCCTGTGAGCATTTTTCTTCCCAGTCTGAACTTCAGATAAGATAAGTAGATATCTGCAGCCTGCACAAAGGGCTCCTTCCTTCCTTTCTGAGGTGCCTGGGGTTTGCCAGCCCAGGGCTTCAGTGTTTTCTACTCAGGATGCTGCAGCCTACCAAGAAGAGTACTTAGCCTGGAATGTGACTAACATTTTCTTGGCTGCAACATGATCTCTGGGAAGCCTCTGTCCCTAACCAGTTTCTCCCTGACAGGGGTCCATTTGCTCTGACTACTGCATCACCCTGTGGTGCACTGTGTGCTCTGTTTGCCAAATGAAGAGAGATGTCAACCGCAGGAGGGAGCTTGGCATATTCTGGTAAGCTAGGGGTGCTGCTGCTCGTCCATAAAGCTGCTCTCACATGCAGGCAGATGGCTTCCCCAGAGCCTCTCCTGCCAACATCTTGACACCAGACTAAGTTTGCCACTGCTCTCACATGCAGCCAGGTGGCTTCCCAGAGCCTCTCCTGCCAACATCTTGACACCAGACTAAGTTTGCTGCAGTGGGGAAATGGCCATGGACAGTTGACCAGAGTGACGTGTCCTGAAGCAAAATGTGGCTGGGGACCTCATGCAGAATGGAGGGGGGAGGACTGGGGCAACACACAGAGTGTGGTGAGGCACCAGTTTCAGCTCAGTCCTGACACTCCTCTTCCATCCTGTTGCAGATGCTGCCATCCTTGCTGCATCTTTGGAGCTGCTGCAATCAGGAGTCACCACTGCTCTCACTGTTGGAAAATGTACCATGTGGAGCTTGCCTTGATTGCATTTGATTTTCCCTACTTAACTGCAGAAATAAAGTTTTGAATTTGTCTTCCTACCCCTATGTATGTTACTCTTGCACCACCTGAGAGTACCCATCCTTCTCCTGCTCCATCCATCTCAGCAGCCCGTGGCTGAGATGTGGCTGAGATGTGTAGCTGGGATTTCCCTGTGTCTGCTGCAGAGAGAGATTTTCACTAGTATTTTGTTATTGTATCAGCATTTAGAAAGGATATTTAATACATGAAGGCGCCAGTTTTGCTCATCCAAATTGCAAAATTTGGGAAAGTGACTACTGCTGCAGGGCAGAGCTGGGTCTTCCTGCAGGCAAGTGACTTCTGCAGGCCACACAGCGTTGCCCCTGCTGTGGTGGTCCAGGTGGCTGTCCTGGGCTGTTGGTCGGTGACACCTTTCTGAATAGAAAGGCATGGGGTGCCTGGTACCAGCTCACCTCGATGTTGAAGAGATATGGACCCTGAGCGTGAATTCCTCTGCACCTGCAATAAAAAACCTGGCTGGGTCGTGGGTTATCTGTGTCCTCTCTAGGTACAATTAGTGCCATCTTCCTGCATGGCATTACACAGCCCATCTGTCTGCACTGGGCTGTGAGCCCTGCATTCCCATGCAGAAGGTGGAGGTTGCATCCACCCTCTCTCCATCACTCTCAAGAGAAATGCTAAAGGACTTTTGATCCCTGCAAATATCTCCCAGCTTCATTCTTTAAGGAGAATATGATTATTTTTTTTGTCCCCACTCTACCTTCACCTTTACCACAATACTTTTAAGTGGCTCTGTCTCTGCTGAGGGGTGGGTGGGTGTGATGGCACTCCCAGCTGTTTAAACCCAGATGGCTCCGACGGTCCTATGGATGATCCCCGCAAATGCAGAAAAATGCATTTTCAGCCTGAGAGAGCCCACCTCCGTGTCACCCAGTGTAGTTACAGCTGCACCTCCAGTAGCACATGGCTTAGGGCAGCACAGGAGCCTGGAAACAAACTACCCTTCTCTGGAAACCTCTCCCACCAGGGCTCTGGGCCTGGAGAACATCTGGGTGGAGAAATGCGAGGGCTGGCAGCAGGAATGCAGCAGGGAAGCTGCCATCATGCAAAGCTGCACCATTTGCTCTGTTAGTCAGAGGGAGCAAAGGTCATTTGCCAGAGTGCATATAAAGGGTGAGAACCAGGAAAAAGAGACGTGTCTGCTGGGACAAGGACAGCTTGGAAAGTATGTATGGCATGGCTTTGCCTTGGTTGTGGTACAGAAACTGCTTGTGGCTGAAGTGGTGGTGCTGGGCAAGGGGAAGGGTTGGAAGCAAAGGTGAGGTTTTTTACCTGGAAAGATGCTTTGGGGTTAACCACAGCATGGTGGGTACTGCTGATGGCTTCTTGACAGATGTGGGGAACAGAGGCAGAGGATAGCAGTTTTTGCACTGTGTTGCTCATATAGTGCACTGTATTTGTGCACATACAATGCCTGTAGATACAGCTTTATGACCTTGGCTGTTGGTGAAATGTAGCTGCATGCACCTCAGGATGCTTTTGTCCCCATCAGTCATTCCAGCATGGCTAGTGATGCCATGGGGGTGTGAATTGTGAAATTGTGATACATTTGGTGTGCTGGGCCTGGCCCATCTCTCAGTAGGTAAGTGTGTGGCAGAAGCTTCTCCAGGCTGCTGTCTGCTCTGCACTGCAGCCACCACCTCTGCAGGGATGTGGTGTTCTCATACCTGGAGAGGGGAAGGGGAAGCCTGACTAGAGGGATCCTGTCCCTAAAATTTCTCTTGCTGCTGCTGCTCCTGTGCACACTTCTCCCTGTGGTCCTGCCTGCTGCTGAACATCCCTGTCGCTGCATGGGAGCCCCATGCTGGGCTCACCACTGCACAGCCTGTCCATGGTCTCTCTCCTCCCCTGTCCATCCTTCTTTCTTCTTAAAGCATCGTGTGCCAAAGCTTCCTGAGGGGCCTGCTGTTTTGGCATGCCAGGAGGTGTTACACTGGCTGCAGAGGTGGTGGGAATTACCTGGGATCTCATAGATGAACAAACAGGGACAGCTGGCCAAGGCAGGGCCAGGAGGTGTCCAGAGAGGGACGATGGATGCAGTGTCCCCTGCTGCACTCACAGGTGTCTCAGACAGGAACAGCCTAGCCATGTTCCACTGCCTGCAAAAAGTCAGGAGCAAACCATGTGGAGGTTTTTACCAGCTTTCTTCCCTCTTACACCATAATTCAACAACCTTTTTCCACTTCCTGGACTGTCAGGAACAAGGGCTCGTCCTACAGCAACAGGCTGTTTCTGACAGCTGGGATGTGTCTGTTATGCTGGGGAGTCACAGGAGCTTCCAGCAAGCAACCTGTTGGCATTAGTCAGTACAAATTCAATGCCATAGCCGGTGCCACTCTGATGTGGGTAATGAGCTCAATAGCATCGTCTGAGTGCTGAGCTTAGTAATTGTTCCACCCCATTTCTTGTATCGCTTAATATTTAACTTTGTGTAACTGTGCAATTCTGGCGAGAAAACAATCCTCTTAGTGTGCCTAACAAAGTGGTACTGAGATTGGGCAAAGGGCAGGGAGTGTGTCTGCATGGGAGTTCTCCGAGAATCCTGATTTTTTTGTTTGATTTAATTAAAGCTCCAAAACCAAAAGTGAGAGTGGCAGAACTGGTGCTGTGCCTTGCGGGGGTGGCAGGGAGGGAAGGGGTCACTGATGGAGGTGCAGGGGGAGTTGTTACTTTGGTCAGGTGATTTTGGGGATGGTACTGTGGAGCAGGAGCTTTCCGACTCTCAGAGAATGCAGCCCATTGCTGAGAAAGGATGGGATGGAGAGGAACACCACAGGTCGTGGTGACCCCACAAGACTGAGGAAGGGGAGGATGATGATGTGTTGGCACAGTCAAGTGGAGGAGGGATAGGAACTGGTGGCAGGGCTTAGGGTGATGGAAAGAGACGATGAAAACCCACTGCCTTGAAACACAATAAGAAGGCAAGTGAAGAAGGAAGGGAGAGGGGGAAGCAAATAGGTTGAGATTCTCATAGAACAAAGCAAAGATTAAGGTGACTCCTGAGAGGCTGGGGAGGCTAGAAATGAGCAGTAGTAACTTTGGGAGACTGATCATAAACGAAACAAAACAAACCCCAAAAAACCAGCCCAAAATGGAGACAATTTTACCCAGACAATTTTACCCAGATATTTTTACGTGATTTTATGCAGACAACAATGAAAGATGACCTGGAGATGAAAAGACTAGTTTGAGGTGTTGAAGCACTTCAATTCCGAGGCAGAAGGACCTCTGTTTTCCCAGAGGTGTTTTACTTGCATAGGGAGGATGTGCTGCTGCCTTTCGTGGAAGACTGGTTTTAGAGAGGGCTTTCCTTCAGAGGGTAGTGTCAGCTTCTGGCAGACCTGTGCCCCCCACTTTGTGGTGAGGGTGGCACTACCCTGGCAGTGGGGACTCCCCAAGGAACTCTCTCTGAATGCAGCAGCCTGAGCAAGACGCCCACTTCAGAAATACCTGCAGCATCTGCCTCTGACGGCTTTTCTTTCCAAACCACAAACTGCCTGGAGGGACCTGAACCTGTGCTGGCAATGGCCTCTCAAACTGTGATTACAGTCCAACCCCAGTTTTCAGCTGCCCAACAGCCAGGGGAGTGGCAAACAGGGCTGCTGAGCTGCTGCTCCGACTGCGGCATATGTGAGTACATACGTAGCCCTCATTCCTGCTGTTGCTCATTACGTGTTCCTGGTGTTTTACCCTGCTCTTCCTGCAGCATTACCCCTGCTGCCAACCCCACTCCTATGGGTACTGGAGGCAGAGCAGCTCTTGCCTGATGTCAAGAGCCGCAGCTCTCAGCTGGCTTTTCCCCCTTTCCTCGGTATTTGCACCCCTCAGCCAAGTCCACATCTCACTGTCCCACAGGTCTTTGTGGGATGTTCTGCTTCTTCTGCCTGAACTGCCAAGTGGCTGGGGACATGGACGAGTGCTGCCTGTGTGGTTCTAGCGTGGCCATGAGGACCCTCTACCGCACCAAATACAACATCCCAGTGAGTGACAAGCTCGGGGGCCTGTCCCAACAGTGACAACAGCCACGGGATGGGTGCTGGGGTGGGGGCTCAAGGAAGGAGAAAGGGGTGCCCAAGGGGAAGGGCAGAGGCAAGGAGTTGCATGAGCATCCCAGCTGGCCAGGAGTCAGGGACACATCTGCCTCACCATTGTGAGCTGGAGGTAATCCCAGGACACATTGCTTCATCCCAGTCCTTGCTGGGTATGAGCAGCAGAAGCTGCAGGGCCCGGGCTGAGCTCCCATGGGGTGCTGACGATGTAAAATAGAAAGGCTGAAAGATTTAACGTTTCGTGTGGGAAGGGATTTTTCATGCAATGTCCCTTGCGCCACAGGGCTCCATCCTGAGGGACTTTTGCGCCATCTGGTGTTGCAGCCCGTGTGCACTCTGCCAGCTGAAGAGAGACATCAACCGGAGGAGGGCAATGGGCATATTCTGGTAAACTGGGGGTGCTGGAGTTACTTCGTCTCACTGCTGCACAGCACCCAGTGCCTTCCCTGGGTCTCCCTTTCCTCTGACACCTGACTCCAGACACAGGGTTGCAGCAGTGCCAGAGCAGTAATGGCTGAGGAAAGGGTGATCCTGCTGTCCTATCCCGTTGCAGATACTGCCATCTTCATTGCACCCTGTGGAGCCACTGCAGGCAGGAGCTGCTGCTGCCCTGGATGTTGGGATGTGCACCATGAGGAGTTTGCCTTCACTGTGCTCGATCCCCTTTTCCCTTGGTAAAGCCAGCAATAAAAGTGCTGCCTGTCTTCTTGCCTGTGTGTTGTTATTTATGTCTGTGTCTTTCTGCAGCATCAGAATCAGTGCTGTACTTTTCTAGGCTGTGTGGCCAGAGACACTATGAAGTTGTCAGGTAAATGAGGCTTTCTCCTGCCCACCCACACTGGAATGAGGCCAGACAACAAAATTCAGTGAGGAGAAGATAAAACAATAGCCATATCTGCTATGGGAACAGAAAAGATAAAAGCCAAATCTGCTATGGGAACAACTTCTCTGTGGACACCACCAATGTGCAGATCTGGTGACAGCATTGCCCTCTGCTCAGAGAGACCCAAGAGTACTGACCCCATCTCTATGGATGCCTGGACTGTCCCCAGCATCAAGACACAAGTGGGGAGTGATGGTGATGCTGTGGGATTCCCAGTCACTCTGCTTTCCCCACAGAAATATTGTGAAGAGACCATCACATGGGAATGGCTTCTCTTGTGCACCTTGTGGGTGTTGGGTGTAATATGCTATGGTGGAAGAGCTGGGACGTGGGTGTGCGAAGGTTTGTCCATTGCCCACCATGGTGACAAACAGGGAAGAGGTAAGTCTGGGTCTCGGGTTGCTCTGGCTCAGTGGGGTTTTGCCCAGAGAGGGCTGCAAGGGGCCCCGAGGCTCTATCATATCTGTGCTTCTGTGCTGGCACCTGCTGGACAGGACGGGAATTTATTCAAAAGTACCTTTTCCACTCGCCTGTTTTCACCATCACAACTCCCGCTGCATTTGCCCCATGGTGTGAAGGGGTGAGGCTGTGCCGCTGCTGACGGCGTGCGCGTGTGTGTTCAAGTTGTAGTGTGTTTTTTGTTTTATTAGTAGGTTTATTGTTTGATTTGTAATTTGGTAGTGTGTGCTGTTTCCTTTTTGTTCCCGCCTTTTCCCAGAATTTCCGTCACTTTTCTTGTTGTTAGTTGCTAGTTTCTATTTCTCCAAACTCTATCAGTTTACTGAAACTGTTCTCCTCCCTTGGGATTTTTATTGGTTTATACATTGTGGTTCCCGCCTTGTTTTTACTCCCAATTCTCCTGATTTGTTAAAGATTGTACCCTCCCCTGAGACCTGCCCCCAAATGTAATAAGCTCCTTTTCCCCCCCGCGATCGGGGTCCCGGGATGAAGAAGAGGGGAAGTTTTACCATCAAATAAAGTTACCTCGGGACCTATGTGCTGCTCTGTGTTTTATGATGCGCCAACTCTGGCACCTGGGATTCAACGGGGCTCGAGGGGGGTTCTGCCACACCCCTCCCTCCTGTCATCAGCTAGCCGGGAGGAGGAGGGCATGTTCACACACATAAACATGTGCACAGAGAAGCAGGAGAAAGCGGCCGTGCTGTGGTGCCAGCCGGAGCTGGGAGCTGGCATTGTGCCTGCTGTGGGAACAGATGTCACGGGTGGCCACAGGCATGCTGGGTCACCTCTGCTCCCTCCTGGCTGCTGATCCTAAATCGCTGCTACGTCCACCCTGCCAGCCAACAGAGCAGGGCTGAGGGCTGGGACTGAGCCCCAGTCCACAACACAGGCAGCTGCCTGGTTTGAGGTGGCCAGTTCAGCAACAGCCCTGCTGCTGCAGGAGCCCATGGGTGTGTTGGGAGCACCCAAGACCCAGGACTTCTAAGCCACACAGCCAGGAGTGCTGAGGTTCCCTCTTTCCAGGGACAAGTGAGCCCTGTGTCCCCAGAACGGGGCTCCCACAGGCCCCCTGTCCCCCCTCCCACAGGGGTGGTTGTTTTGGGCTTCCCTGACAGTCATTCCTGCTTGGCATCCTTCTATGCCCGCCCTTGATCATGGAGTCTCCTCCCCGGATCTCTTTCTCCTCCAGTGCATGCAGGGGTTGTCCATTGGGACCAGGGACCAAAGGCATGAACCTCCACAGTTAGCCATGTCCTCCACAGTGAGCCAGAAGCAACCAGGAGGCTGCTGAGCAGACACGAGGACACAGAGGTTTTGTTTCTGTGAATTTCTTTAATAGAAGTAACTACAAATGACCACTACTAAAGCAAGTATGTACTTAAGACCACTCACCTGTATTCATTATTTGAGGTGCCATCAGCACGACCCTTGCCAAACTGCTGCTAGCAGCGGGCAGGAAGGAAAAGCCTCCTGTCGCAGGTGCTCCACGCCACAGAATTGTAAGACCCGAAGCTGCACCCGCCCGTATCCCGATCCCGGAGCGGACGGTCCCTGGCTGTCTCAAGGCTCAGCCACTTGCTCCCGGTGTTCCACCCTCCTGGCGCACACAAGAAGACGCGGCAAGCTTGTTTTTTCCTCAGGGCTTCCTCTTCTCCCGTGAGATCCCTGCAGGCTGTTCCAGCGCCGTGTGCCAGAACTCCGCGCTTCCTGATCTGTCCTGACCCAGGAGCACCGGGACTCTCGGGCTGAGCGCTATTGGGATGGCACCATGTCCCAGGGATATCAAGGGACATGGACCTGCCCACAGCACCCCCAGGTGAGGCACCTCGGTGTCAGCAATTCCCGGTCGGAGTCAGCCCTGGACTGGCAGCAGTCCTCTGCCCCGCGGCTGCTTACGGCCGAAACGGGGATATTTTACGGGTCCTGAGGCGTTTCTGTCAGTAATGCCGAACCTTCCTTTCCTGCTCGCGGGGTCCTGCATTGTGCTTTTCCACCTCCCTTCAGCCCACTGCCAGCTTGCTGGGGCCGGGATCCTTGTGGTTTCCTTGTGATGCCTCCCTCGAATCCAGGAGGGTTGTGGTGATCGTTTTCCTTGATGGTGCTAGGACAGGTCCTTCTTGACACAGCTTTGCCCGTGTGTCCTCAAGGGGCTTTGTTTGCACAGGCCGTGCTGTGGAGGTGCAGCAAGGAGCCAGGAGCTGCCAGCCCCAAGCCTGGGGGAGAGGCACAAGTGCCTATCTCACCCAAGGAGTGTCACGGGACACAGGAGCTGCAGGCAGTACCTGGTGAGTGCCCGAAGTGATGACCAAACAGCTCAACACCCAGCCATGCTGTCAAGGGGGTCTCTTGCTGCTGGCTAGGGTGGGAGAAGCCCAGCATAACTGGGAAAACCTCATTGTGGGTGATGGACAAGTACTTGAGATCCCCTCTGAGCTAGCTGGGTTGGTTCTGTTTCCGCTGCCTCTCTTGGCACTGTATGAATGGGGGGGGGGGGGGGGGGGCAAACAATGCCAGAGGGGGTCAGCACCATGTGGGGAGCTGTCACAGCCCCCCAGACCAAAGCCTCTCCTAGGTCATTTGCAGCTAATGTCTGGGGGCCTGGGAGCTTGGAAGGGAGCTCAGGAAAGGTGAATGAAGAGTTGCTGGGGTCTGGCCCAGCTGCACCCCATTGCCAGGAGTTCTGTGTAGTGCTGGGGACAGCCTAGTGTTTGTGGCTACAGCTCCTGTGCTGTCGGGGTGAAATGCACCCTGCTTCACAGAGGGATTTGTGCCAATGCCCTTCCTGGACTGCCCTTCTGGGAGAGATGTGTCTCTTCTGGATAGGGAGGAGGAAAGGCATCTCCTGAGGGTCTCTGGGGTGTGCCATCAGGAGCTCTGACCTACTGGTGTCTCTCCTTTTTTAGGTACAGAGAGGACTCCACTGCCTTGTGCTGCTGCCTCATCTGCAGCCTGTGGCCCCTCAGAAGAGCCAGGCTCACCCTCATCTTACTTCTGCTGTCAGGAATGGGACTGAGAGAGACCATTAATGCAGTGAGGAGTATGTGACATGTATTTAAACCACAAGGGAAGAGGACAGGCTCCTTTCTGGGTAGAGCTCCCTGTAAAGGACAACCAGTTTGGCTCCTGGGTGACAGACACCCCAGCTAGTTTGGATTAGAGATGCTCCTGGTTCTCACAGCTCTGACTGATAAAAGCTCCAGCTGCTTACAGCTCAAGGTATTTGATGCTCTAAGTGATTTCAACTCCTGCCTCTTCCAGCTCCAGCTCCAGATCACGGTTCTGGCTGCTCTGCTGTTGAGGTACAAGATGCTCTTGCAAGCAGACCTCCTCCCCTTGTTACACCCTGGGTTAGGGACACCTGGGTTTCTCTTGAGTTTCAGGTCATTCCACCAGCTCCTGGACATGGGATGCTAATTACAGGCAATGGGTGTTCCACCTCAGGTTATTTGAAGCCCTGAGCTATTTTGGCTCCAGCACACAACAGAATAGAGGTGCTCCCACTGCTTCCAGAGGCAGAAATTAATCTGGGGGATGTTTGAAAACAGTCTGAAAGGCTCCCAGAAATGGGAGACAGCCTGTCTCACAAAGCACACTGGTAAGGTCAGAAAGGCCTCCAAGATTGAGTCCTACTATCAACCTAATGCTGCCATGTTCACCACTAAACCACATCCCCAAGTGCCACATCTACATATTGTGTTAACACTTCCAGGGTTGGTGATTCCACCACTTGGGCAGCCTGTTCTAATGCCTGACCACCCTTTCCATGAAGAAAATTCTCCTAATATCCAATCTAAAGCTCCCCTGGCACAACCTGAGGACATTTAATTTCCTTTCATTTGCTCTCATCTTGTCACTTGTTTACCTGGGAGAAGAGATTGATCCCTACCTCTCTATAAACTCCTTCCATGTAATTGTAGAGAGCAATAAGGTCTCTCCTAAGCCTCCTTTTTTCCAGGCTAAACATCCCCAGCTCTGCACTGATCCCACAGGAACATGAGATGATGCAGTGGGACATTGTCACCATGATATTTTCTGAAAAATCCTCT